TTAGTGCTAGTGAAAGTTGTACTCTGAGTGATTTCTAGCTGCACATATATCTAGTTTAACCTTTTACAAATGGCTATCCAGTTGTCCATACAACAACATCTATTAAAAAGCCTATGATTTGAGAACACTGTCTTTATCATAATCTAAATTTCTGTATGTAGTTGAGACTATTTCTGGCCTTCTTATTCTATTTCACTGGTTTGCTGATTTGTGTGTCATTACCAACTACACTGTTTTAACTGGAGGCTTTTGAGGTGTGACTTAATAATTAGTAGGTCTAGTACTTCCTCATAGCTATACTTTTATAGTCATGTAGACTGTATGTACATTCTATGTGCTTATTTTTCCATATGAACTTCAATGTCAGCTTACCCAGATCCATCAGTCATTGGATTTTTATTGGTATCACTACAAATTTATAAATTAAGAAAAGGTCCTAACCAAAACCAGGAGATAGATTTACGTTTTTAAAGCCTATTTTTTGTCTTTCAGGAATATTTTACATTTTTTTTCATAAGATTTCTACAAAATAAAATGCTGGCTTTAGAATTCACACACGCATACACATATACACACACACACATAAGTAAAGTATATACATGTACTTTATCCAGTTAAGGAAGTATCCATACATTTTTACTTTCTTCAAAAGTTTTGTATATTCAATCTTTGCAGATGTTTCAGGTGCATTTGGAGGGAAGTTACTTTTTCTATTATCTATGTATAGTGGTCAATATGTGTCCAGAATATCTACCATATTAACTATATTATTTAGATCATCTATAACTTATTCTTTTGTCCAAACTTTCTATCTTATATTGAGAGTGACCTGTTAAAGTCACCTTTTACTAAAGTGATACTATGCATTTCTTTTTTCATCTCCTATAATTTTTATATTATATAGTCACTGTTATTTGCTGGATGGATTCAGAACTATTTAATCTTCATGGTAGCATTTGGCTTTTAACATTATAAAGTGTCTTTCTTTGTCTCATTGAATTCTCTTTAGGTATATGTCTTCACCTAGTATCAGGATTCCAACCCCTGCTGTCTTTTTGCTTCCTTTTGCCTTGTAAATCTTTATTCATCACTTTACTTTTAGCATTCTGTTACTTTCCTGAGTATGATCAACTTCTGCTTTACTTCAACCTTTCCTTTTCTTTTTTTTTTTTTGCCTTTCCTTTCTTTTTATGATGGTATGAGTATATCTAATTTAATTTGCAGTAGTATATTACAGTTTTCTTCAGCGTTATGGTTGTTTCCCTTTTTAGGTGGATGACTTTTTGTAGGTATAAAATATTAAATTCACATTCTTGAATTTTTAGAGTGGTTTTATGTAGACGTAATCTGTTTTTTTCTATTCCTATTTATTTAATGGTCAAGGTTCCTAGTTAGAGAGCTCCTTCTTCTGTCAGTTCTGCCCTATTCTTTGCAGTTTCCTTCATCGATGGTACTGCTATGGAAGTGAGGAGGGCAAAGGTGTGTCTTTTTTTTCTCTTTCATTTTCCCAGCATCCTTAAATCCTCCAAATTACGTTTTCGCTTTCACGCTCATAGCTCTAAGAGGTACCACCCTATTTTTGTTATCTGCATCTCCAAAGGAAAAAAAAATATTTTCCAAGTTTCTCACTTCCTGTCTTACATTTCAAACCCTTCCCCAGTGCTATGAACTACCAAGTCCCAACCTATGTTAAGTATTTTGGAATTTATTGTTGTAATTTTATCTTTATAGGTTGATTATGCCTATACTTCATCTATGTCCTCTATTTTCACTTTTTCATAGAAGATTTTAAGAACTAATTTCCCTAACCTGCACCATAGGCATTCAGTAGTAGTCTGGAGCAAGAGCTCTGTTAACATTTTTTTATTTCTACTAACAGATAATTTGAAGGTTGTGATGCTCTGTGTCTCTGGACATGCTGAAAGGGCACGGGTCTTCTGTGGTTTTATTTGTTTTCCTTATTGATTTTATGGATTAGGGGGAAGGCTGGGGGATATATAGAATCAGGCAACCATCTTTACAACACAAAACTGGCGATTTAGCTAGTATATTTTTTAAAGTATCCTTTCTTTTAGATCCCTACTTAAAATCTATTTCACACTCTGAGCCACTAAAAGCTTGTATGACCGTTCTCAGTGAATAAGCATTCTAAAATATTAACCTGATGTGACAGTTTTCCATGTATGCATTTGCTTTCTGGTAGCCTCACTGTGTTATTTATTTAGTGTTCAAACAAACAACTGTAGCCTATAATGGCTGAAAAAAATGCAAGTCTAACAATTCTAACGCTGGACGAAGTAAGAAACATACAGAAGAAGATTATCACATTGGATTATAAAATATAGGTTTTATAGTAGCTAGTACATACCGATGACAGAAGATACAACTGTTTTTGTACATCAAAATTTATAAGTACAGTTACAACTGTAAGATTCAACCTGGAGAAGGATAAGGCAAAGTGTAGAGTAGCACTGATGCCTATATATTCTCCTTTTACACATTTTGACAGGTTGGTGAGCTATGGCCTGTAGATCAAATTTGTCTCACCATCTGTTTTTGTAAATAAAGTTCTTTTGTAATGCAGCTAAACCATTAACTTTTGTACGATCAATGTCTTCTTTTGCACTGCAGAGACAGAGTTGAGTAGTTTCAACAGAGACTGGCTCACAAAGTTGAAACTATTTATGATCCAGTTCTTTCGAGAAAGTTTTCCAACCCCTACACTAGGATATAAAAAGTTTCAAAAGTTCCAAAATTATGGAGATGAAAAAGGTGGTTTAAATGTTCCAAAGATTTCCAGGTTTAGATAATTGAAATAAATCAAAAGGCTCCAATGAGCATAATCATATAACGCTTTTAATAAAGGCAAATAATATAAGACAACAGGAGAAAGATAATTCAAAGAAACATCCAGGAAAAAAAAAACACAAAGAAACATCCAGGAACAAGCTTCCCTATGTTCTTATTTGCCTGAAGACATGATTCATCATCTCTGAATGAAACTGCTATTATTTGTGCTGATGTACGTGTGTTGAAACTTGGTTTCAGGAGAGCTCAGGCAGAAGTTTCCTGCAGAGTCTAGTCACATAGCGAAGATAGGATATCTAACTGATTACCTCAAGTGAAAGTTATCAATAAACAAATTAGTCATACGTTCCACTCAGGAATTCTGAACCTCTAAAAAATTTATCATAAATCATTATTCAGTTAGTTAGTTAACTCACTGCCCTTATCATGGCCAACAGTCAAAAACAACTCTCAAGCCTCTCTGGAGATAAGCAAAGAGCTGTCTCAGTCTAGCTGTAAAATAACTCTATTTTCATTAAGCAAATTCAGATTCACTAACAGAGGAACTAAGAATTAATAATATATTGGAATAAATAGAAAAAGATTACTTGTCATGACATATGTGAACCAAATTCTTAGTTATCAGGAATCAAAAGGTAGTGTTGGAATTCAGTAAGCTATGGGGACTTCCCTGATGGTACAGTGATTAAGAATCCACCTGCCAATGCAGGGGACACGGGTTTGAGCCCTGGTCCGGGAAGATCCCACATGCCGCAGAGAAACTAAGCCCGTGTGCCACAACTACTGAACCTGTGCTCTAGAGCCCATGAGCCACAATACTGAAGCCCTTGTGCCACAACTACTGAAGCTCACGAGCCTAGAGCCTGTGCTCTGCAACAAGAGAAGCCACCGAATGAGAAGCCCGTGCACCACAAGGAAGAGTAGCCCCTGCTCACCGCAACTAGAGAAAGCCGGAGAGCAGCAACGAAGACCCAACGCAGCCAAAAATAAATAAATAAATAAACATTTTTAAAAAGAGAGAAAAATCTTTCAAAAAATTCAATAAGCTATGAAGTAGCAGTTATGACATATTTTTAGGGGTATGTTGGTATGGTAGGCAGAGCTCTAAGATGACCCCCAAAATACTCAAGCCCTGGTGTGCATCTATATAATCCCCTCCCCTTAAATTCCAGTGAGATTTGTGAAGATGATGGAATGCTGCTGTGATTAGATTACACTACATGGCAAAAATAAAGCTATTTTTCAGCTGTAACTAAGGTTCCAAATTAGTCAACTTTCAGTTAATCAAAAGTGAGATTATTATGGGTGGACCTAACCTCATTGGGTGAACACTTAAAACAGACCTAGAGGTCATAAAGAGAGGAGTCAGGGATGCTCTCCTCTGTCCTGGAAGAAGAAAGGAGCCCTGGTGTGACTGCCTATGGGGAGGAGAGGGGAGCTGTGGGTCTCAGTCCTACAACCACAAGGAATGAAATTCTGGCCAAAGGGTGAATGAGCTTGGAAGAGGACTCTGTTTCAGATGAGAATACTGCCTGGCCAAGACCTTGGTTCCAGCCTTGTGAGGCCCTGAACAAAGAACACAATTAAGCTGTGCCTAGTTCCTGATCCATAGATAGTGTGAGATAATAAACATGTTGTTTTAAGTTTCTAAATTTAGTGTAATTTGTTATGCAACAATACATAACCCATATTACATACATTGAGGGTAATGGATAACACATTCAAAGCAACAGGATGAAATTAAGAAAGAATAAACTGACTTTTGGCAATATTATTTTGTTATATTGTGTGTTTTTTACAAATTTCCTTACTCTCTTCCTTTTCTTCTATATCCAACATTGAGATAGTCATTCAACTAGATCCTTCCATGTACATTAGTCCATTTCATAGCAAAAAACAGCGAGCAAAAGAAAAATAAATGTCTCTCTCCAGACAATATATCAGAAATGTCATGTCAGAGGGAAAAAATATTTTGTGCAAAACCTTTCTATAAAAAATGTTGTTCCCTTGGGCTTCCCTGGTGGTGCAGTGGTTGAGAGTCCGCCTGCCGATGCAGGGGACACGGGTTCGTGCCCCGGTCCGGGAAGAGTCCACATGCCGCAGAGCGGCTGGGCCTGTGAGCCATGGCTGCTGAGCCTGCGCGTCCAGAGCCTGTGCTCCGCAACGGGAGAGGCCACAACAGTGGGAGGCCCGCGTACCAAAAAAAAAAAAAAAAAAAAATGTTGTTCCCATCCCAAGGACTACAAAGATATTTTCAGGATGAAGGAAAGCAGAATGCAGGTAAGAGTGGCAGAAAAAAATAATAAAAATGAAATGGGTCAGATGGTCCTGGATTGACTGTGATTAGTATGATGGGGCCAGATGTGAGCAGGCCACTGCCATGGGTGACCAGTACTCTTCATTCAAATCAGCACTTTCCATCACAATGCCCTGAAAAGATATGGGAGCTTAAAAAAACATCTGAGCTATAAGTGGGTGGCAACAGGAATTTTCTTCCCTCAATGGAGACAATGTTGACATAGATTACTCTCTGTCATATTTAACACCTTCCGTCCCCTCATTGTTCTTGCAGCATTGTAATAAATGTTCATGAGTTCTCAGAAAAAAAAAAAAAGGCTGATTGAACTCTGGACACTTTATAGTGTGCTGATATGAAAGTAACAATTTGAACCTATACTTTAATGTGGCTAAATAAACAGAGTTGAGATTCATCCTGGACAAAAATTATGAAAATAGACTATCCTTGGTTCATTACAGAGAAAACTACTCTAGGTAGGAAAAAAAAAAAGAAACACACAAAAAACTCAGAGGAAATTTTTGTGGGAAGAGGACAGATTGATGGGACAGTTGGAACAGAAAAGTATTTATTTTCATTATAAGCTTGCCTATAATGTTCTTTTTAAATTCAATTAAACTATATTATTATGAAAATCACATGGACAGCAAAGGCAAAACATTTCAAATATCTAGAAAGTGCAATGCATGTTCACTTAGTCCAAGTTAAACATTTGAAAGATGTTATAGTCTATCCTGAATTTTGCATAGTATAACTTAAGTGCATTTTTCCTAAGTCAACCTGCATACAAGAATGTGAAGAGTTCAAGTTGTAGTACTATTATATTTATATTTTGAGAAATAAAACATAAGAGGATCTTTCCTCTTCCTGACTCTTTGTATTTTAAAAATCAACTTTGGGTTCTTAATTATTATTATTTAATTAAAATATAAAACTAGAGAGCAAATATAGATGTCAATACACAATTTTTAAGATGTAGATGCAACAATTACAAAAAGGGAATTGGCTTTTGATATCTGTGAGGTTGGGAAAATCTCTTCCAGGTCAGATGGGCATCAGAACTCATTGTGTTCCCACCCTTTCTTTTACCTATTTAGAAATCCTTCAATAAAATGAGCTAGCCCCTCCTCCACCCCCAAAAAAGGGTAATTATTGGGTTGGCCCAAAAGTTCATTCGGGTTTTTCTGTAACATCTTACAGTATTTAGTTTTTGGTACATACTTTTAGGAAAAGGCTTTGGGGACTGGCTAGAGATTAAAATCTTCAATGTACATGTAAGAATGGCTTTTTTTACTGATGGATAAGCATAGGCAAGAAAAATATGTGGAGTAAAGAAATAAGTATTATAAATTTATATGATCAGGGCTTAGATGCCCTTTCCTCTTGTAAAATATGAAAGCAATCACGTGAGACCATATATTTGGCCAAAGACTTCCAACTGTTCTGCAGAACTCTGTAGCATCAAGAGAAGACACACAAATGTGTTCCCCTCTGAGGCCAGGTGATACATATGAAGAAACTATTATATGGCACTTTCAGCTCTAAATTAGAACATATAGATGTATAGATATCCAGAAAGAATTGAAAAGGAACACTAAAATTATTTTTACTTCCAGAAAAAGAGAGATGAGGATGGGACTTCTCAACTTAGTACGCCATACAAAGGACTGATATGATGTGATATATATTATTTGGCATGAATTAAGTTTTATTTAAACTTCTACAGAGAGAATTTCCAAGAATATATGCATAAACTATTAAATTCACTATTTACCATATACATTAATATTCATGAAATTATTTATCTTGACTATAATTTTAGGTGTAGGCACACATTTCATCAATTTTAAGACACATGGCAAAATTTAAAAATTATAACTATATATGATGATGGATGTTAATTAGACCTAGTGTCTAGTTATTGTTATGTTGTATACTTGAAGCTAACGTAATGTTATATGTCAATTATATCTTGATAAAAAATTTAAACACATTTTCAAATACATGAAAATTATGATTGATAAGACACAATTTGAAACACTTTACAGATCCCAGAAGTAGGTAGTTAGTAATATATGTTACCATTCTAAGTATACTGAATCTTCATTGCACACCCCTTCTGCCCCAAGAAACATCTAAATAAGCTGTTGCTTACAGACATAACGATATTTATTTCCACAGTCTGCATCCATAACACTTCCGCTTGGGCCATGTATTATGCAGTTCTTTGGATTTACAGGGTGAAGGGATAGAAATCTGTAATGAAGAAGAATGTTTTAATATATTGGGAAAAGGAAATGAGAATGTTCAAGGATGATGTTTTTGTTAAATGATAGAACTACAGACATTTTAAAAGCATTTTAATGAGATATTACCACATTGAGACATTATCTTTTGTTCATTCAAGTCAGTTTTCACAATTTCAGAGTACAATGTTACAAAAACTCAGCTATTGCATCAATAATCAATAGCAATGAAGTTGGGGATTTTTTTGTTTTTGCTGTTGTTATTAATGGTTTTGGTATGTTAGATACTTTACTTCTAAGATGCATCTGCTAATCTAGTCTAGGAAAAAAATCAGAGCATAAAACCTGTCATTGTATGATACTGTAAATCCCATGTTTATGAATGAAAATGAGATTTGAAGATTACAAATACACAGAAAATAAGCCCAGAATGTTTGAAATATGGGATGATGCTGAGAATATTGGGCTCCACCAGAATAAGTAAAATAGTGGATATACTCTTTTCTCTGGATGGCTTTTGTGTATGTGAGAATCTGTACATGTACATACATATCCGAGTGCTTGTACCAAGGCAGGAAATAAAAGCATATATCAAAAGCTCTTTTAGAGTCACAAGTACACTAACTTCATGTCACTTGAGCATACACTTGGGTGTTGTGGTTGGGACTAAAATTGTTATTCTGTTGTATCAATTCTCTTTTCTGTATTCTCACGTCCTAAACAGGATATCTTACCTACAGTGTTCCTGGATGTTACGTTCTCTGATCAGATCTAAGGATAAACTCAAAAAGAACAGAAAAAGGTTTTGAGTGCCAGAAACTTACAGATCTTGGGAGAGAGTAGAATTATCCTCCCACAACCAGCCATGATGTTCTTCACTGTAAGAGAGTCCAGTCCAGTAATAATAGGAAATGGAGTTCATAAAATACTGTTTGGAAACAAAGACCAACATATTAATCTATTTTGAATCTACTCTAGGGATCATGTACTTTTAAGAAAGTCAGTGTCTAGTATTCAGGTTCAGTTTTTCAATTATACAAACTAAAATCATTTTTAACTTTTAATTTAGGAGGTATAGTCAAGTCACATGCCTCATATTTCTCATTCATCAGACCCATTCATTTATGGAGGAAAACGTACCACAAAATCTCACTTCTTGAAAGAATGAAAAACGTCATAAAGGGAATTAGAGCTTTCATGGAACACTTCCTTCACAGGGGATCAGCAATCAAATTTGATCCCAAACCAACGGTATCTTGAGGGATAAATCTTAGCACAGGTTCTGCATGGAGCTAGAGAAAATTTTCACTTTTCCTTAAGAGTTGGGTAATTGTTTTATAATATTCTTCATATTCATTCCAAGAGTGATAACAAAAGCTATATAATTACAAAATAAATTATAAGTTCAATTAATGAACTAAAAATTCAAAGTTCTTTGAATAAAAATAATGATCTATAATTTATTCTTTGAATTCTCTCTAAAAAGTTTCTTGTACTTTATCTGTCACAGTCCTATAATGTAAATCTTTGAGAAATTTTGTGTAGATTTTATGACTGTTTCAAAGTATAGGAAATTAGTTCAGATATAACTGCCTATTTACTATCTGATTAAAAACTTGAATCAAAGTATTCAGCTTACTTAGATAATATTTTCCTAGGTCAAAAAAATTGTAGAAAAATCAGAATTAAATACATGCCAGTTCATTTCTGTTTTGTATCTGAAGTAGACTGGAATTATGAGAAACACAAAAATTTCTACTGTCTTTCCATGTTTTTGATTCATTAGAAATGAAGTAACAGCTGCATTGGTAGCCAATCCACTTTTCTCGGCAAGAACAGCAGCCAGATCCTAAGAGAATAAACAAAACATGACTTGATGACATTGGAGATTCCGTTGTTTTCAGTGCTATTTACTCATTTGTTATTTAATGTTTTCTACAGCTATTCTTAGAGAAGTTACTGCACACACCACAGTTCAGGGGATATTAATCTGAATGAATCAGACATGACCCTTCTTCCTCATGAAGATTATATTCTAGAGATAGAGACAGAATTATACAAATTTCAGTCATTGATGAATTATATTTAATGATAATTTGTGTAAGTATACACAAGAAATCCAGTATGTTAAAATACTGTGTAGCAGAGTATAGGATGGGGGGCGGTTAGAAGAACCTCTTTTGAGGAAGTGACCCAAAGTTGATCTCTGCTGTGTAATTAAAAGTGAACTAGATAAAAGAGATATTTAAAGGAGGAAAGCATTTTAGCATATTTCCTGAGTCAGAAAATAATTCTGGATATTTTATTTCAAAATGAAGTTAATAAAGCACTTAGCTTGAAGTCTGACCGTCCAGTTTACTAGTGATAGTGTCTTCAACATTTACCATCCTCAGTGATAAAAGTCATATTATGTGGTAGGCACTCAAATCTTTGTCAAATGAGTGGTGCTGAGATTGTAGAGTTGAATGGTGGCTACCAGGGGCTGGGATGTGGGGGAAATGGGGAGCTGTTGGTCAAAAGGTACGAGCTTCCATTTAGAAGATGATTAAGTTTTGGGGATCTACTGTGCATCATTATAACTAGAGTTAACAGTACTGTATTATATACTTGGGAGTTGCTACAAGAGAGCTTCTTAAACATTCTCACCACAAAAAGACATGATAGTTGTGTGACATGATGGAGGTGTTACTTAATGCTATGGTGGCAATAATATTGTAATAAGTGAATCATTGTACACTTTAAACTTACACGATGTCATATGTCAATTATATCTCAAAAAAGTTGGAAAAACGCTGAGGGAAAAAAGATATGAATGAAGTGCTATATGAACACAGAAGAAGATGAGACATCATTTAGGAAAAGATATGTTTAAAAATATCTTTGAGCTGACGTTCACTGGTTAAGTAGAGTTTAGAATTGCAGAAATCTCTGTGCTTCTTTCTGAGTTGTGGAAGAAGCGGAGGCACAGGTAAAGAGGTATCAAAGTATGTGTTGTGAAACACAAGCAGGCACTTAGGATCAGCTACAATATTTACTGTAATTTGCTTTTGTTACTTAAACATGAGCAGTCACATAGGAAAAATAGGTCACTTCTGGCTAATATTTTCCTTATTACTTAATATATAAATGACACACATTAAATGTAATTTAATAAATTAAGTTAGCAATAAAATGAGACTATCCTATAATTTCTATTACTAAGCATAATATCCCTTCATGCTTCTGTGTGAGAAAAACAAGAATATTTCATTCTCTAACAGCACTAAAGTTTTCCAAAGTATGGAACCCACCTTCCCGGAGATCTGTGGAGGGTCCTGGAGAGAATGTTGGCTGAACATTTTGTTTAGTAAATGCTGTAAGAAGTAATTAGAAATTTACTTCATCAGACACAGATTTATGAAATAACAAAATATTACACATTAGCAAAATGAAACCTTTATTGTAAGACAGTTTCATCACAATTTTGATCTTTTTATATAGTCTTGACTAGAAAAACTTACAACTTTTCAACAAAACTCCCAAAGCAGCCACCAACAAAAGGCACATTACTCCTAAGACCCCAGAAATCAGCCTCCATGGAGTGGTCTGAAAAGCTATAAAGAAAGAGAGATAGGGTAAAGATTTAAAGACCAAACACAGGAACTGAAGTTCTTAAAAGCAGAAACCAGTGAGAGAATCCAAAAAGTTCCTTGGTTTAATAACCCAATAATTTTGTCAATGAAATGTTGGAAAATGAAGACATTCCATTTAGAACTCCACCCAATACCAAAAATTTTATGTGATGTACTTTATTCTTCAGTGAGATTAGCCATACCTTTTCCTCTTTATCAGCTCTATCTTATCAAACTGTACTTACCACTTATTTTTAAATTTGACAAAGAAGCTTAGAGATCTGTAGTAAAAAGAGATCAACAGGCACCAAGTTCGGTCTTGTGGGCTGATATAACAAACTCTTAGTTTTGTAACAGCAACAAAAAAATCACAAGATAGAGAATCTGATTCCCATTAGGTAGCTGAGAAAATGTAGGATCCATTAATAATGCTATTTTCTCAAGGAATCAGAGCTATTCAGTACCCAAGTCAGAAATCAAATGAAAGTTTGTCTAGACCCAGAGTCTTTCATTTAAATGACATGTATTCCATCATTGTTACAATAATATTAATACTACTTGGGAGGGTGTCCTTCTGCTAATCTCAGTGTATTCGCTACTCTGAGAAATGTCAGGCTGCTCATAGCTTTGTAGAGGCTGTACAGTGAAGAGAAGACATGGTGTGATGAGAGGTTCCCCAACCAATGTAGCGATAATAACTTGGGAACCCGAGTTCATTTCACAGTACATTGAATTATGATACGTAAAAAAACACTTTTTTACAGGAACCATTTTTTACATGTATTACATCTTCTCATACCAAAAATTACTTGCTCACAGGCATTTCCCCTAAAATAATTTAGCATCAGGAGATTCTGCATTAACATTAGCGTACTCCCAAAGGGTGTTGTCATTCACAACAGTTCAATGTGTCAAACTGTTAATCTGGGTGGTTTTGGGGATGTCACAACACAAATGGTAAATTAAAAAAAAACACTTTTAAACATTTTGTTGATAATATTTAACATTCTCTATTTATTTTCATGCTAGAATTATGTTGTTTATATTTTTCCTGGTAAATTCAGATGCCAATCAGAATTTAGAGCTATCCCTGTCAGAATCCACTCTTTAAGCCTGTTGGAAAAATCTTTACAAAATCATTTCTAAGTTACAGAATGAAGAATCAGAAAAATGAAATTAAAGTAGAAAGTACAGATACATGGGGAGCCTAAAAATGTATACTTTTGTCCTAAAGCTTTGCCTCAAATTAGCCATACCCACAAGATATTTTTCCTAGTTATTTTAATTTTTTCATTTTATGACTTGGGCTGCACATACCTGCCATATGAAATGTTGTTCCAGTGTCCATGCAGGAAAGGCACGATGGCTGCTTGTTCAAGAACTGGGTTAGATCACGGAGCTGAGCTGTAGGCTAAGGAACCTGAAAGTTGTGTATGAAGAAATTTTTTAAAAAAGAAAACTTGTGTATTCAAGTGTGCGTGCACCATCTGCTGATGAGACACAGACGTGTAGCATGAAAAAGAAGCAGTAAAATCACTATCTTCTAAAATGTTTCTGGAACCACAATACAGGAAATTCTCACTGAACTTGTGCAATGCACACCCTTTGACTATCACAAAAGAAGGTGACAGGAAGTTTTTTTAATATTTAAAGGTAAATTTACTTGGTATAATAAAATTCCACACATAATTTTCCTGTTTTAAAAATAATTATTTATTTACTTTTTATTTATTTATTTTTTACATCTTTTTTTTTAACATCTTTATTGGAGTATAATTGCTTTACAATGGTGTGTTAGTTTCTGCTTTATAACAAAGTGAATCAGTTATACATATACGTATGTTCCCATATCTCTTCCCTCTTGCGTCTCCCTCCCTCCCACCCTCCCTATCCCGCCCCTCCAGGCGGTCACAAAGCACTGAGCTGATATCCTTGTGCTATGCGGCTGCTTCCCACTAGCTATCTACCTTACGTTTGGTAGTGTATATATGTCCATGCCTCTCTCTCGCTTTGTCACAGCTTACCCTTCCCCCTCCCCATATCCTCAAGTCCATTCTCTAGTAGGTCTGTGTCTTTATTCCTGTCTTAATCCTAGGTTCTTCATGACATTTTTTCCCTTAAATTCCATATATATGTGTTAGCATACAGTATTTGTCTTTCTCTTTCTGAGTTACTTCACTCTGTATGACAGACTCTAGGTCTATCCACCTCATTACAAATAGCTCAGTTTCGTTTCTTTTTATAGCTGAGTAGTATTCCATTGTATATATGTGCCACATCTTCTTTATCCATTCATCCGATGATGGGCACTTAGGTTGTTTCCATCTCCGGGCTATTGTAAATAGAGCTGCAATGAACATTTTGGTACATGACTCTTTTTGAATTTTAGTTTTCTCAGGGTATATGCCCAGTAGTGGGATTGCTGGGTCATATGGTAGTTCTATTTGTAGTTTTTTAAGGAACCTCCATACTGTTCTCCACAGTGGCTGTATCAATTTACATTCCCACCAACAGTGCAAGAGGGTTTCCTTTTCTCCACACCCTCTCCAGCATTTATTGTGTCTAGATTTTTTGATGATGGCCATTCTGACTGGTGTGAGATGATATCTCATTGTAGTTTTGATTTGCATTTCTCTAATGATTAATGATGTTGAGCATTCTTTCATGTGTTTGTTGGCAGTCTGTATATCTTCTTTGGAGAAATGTCTATTTAGGTCTTCTGCCCAGTTTTGGATTGAGTTTTTTGTTTTTTCGTTATTGAGCTGCATGAGCTGCTTATAAATTTTGGAGATTAATCCTTTGTCAGTTGCTTCATTTGCAAATATTTTCTCCCATTCTGAGGGTTGTCTTTTGGTCTTGTTTATGGTTTCCTTTGCTGTGCAAAACCTTTGAAGTTTCATTAGGTCCCATTTTTTTACTTTTGTTTTTATTTCCATTTCTCTAGGAGGTGGGTCAGAAAGGATCTTGCTGTGATTTATGTCATAGAGTGTTCTGCCTATGTTTTCCTCTAAGAGTTTGATAGTTTCTGGTCTTACATTTAGGTCTTTAATCCATTTTGAGCTTATTTTTGTGTATGGTGTTAGGGAGTGATCTAATCTCATACTTTGACATGTACCTGTCCAGTTTTCCCAGCACCACTTATTGAAGAGGCTGTCCTTTCTCCACTCTATATTCTTGCCTCCTTTATCAAAGATAAGGTGACCATATGTGCGTGGGTTTATCTCTGGGCTTTCTATCCTGTTCCATTGATCTATCTTTCTGTTTTTGTGCCACTACCATACTGTCTTGATTACTGTAGCTTTGTAGTATAGTCTGAAGTCAGGGATCCTGATTCCTCCAGCTCCGTTTTTCATTCTCAAGATTGCATTGGCTATTCGGGGTCTTTTGTGTTTCCATACAAATTGTGAAATTTTTTGTTCTAGTTCTGCGAAAAATACCAGTGGTAGTTTGATAGGGTTTGCACTGAATCTGTAGATTGCTTTGGGTAGTAGAGTCATTTTCACAGTGTTGATTCTTCCAATCCAAGAACATGGTATATCTCTCCATCTATTTGTATCATCTTTAATTTTTTTCATCAGTGTCTTACATTTTCTGCATACAGGTCTTTTGTCTCCTTAGGTAGGTTTATTCCTAGATATTTTATTCTTTTTGTTGCAATGGTAAATGGGAGTGTTTTCTTGATTTCACTTTCAGATTTTTCATCATTAGTGTATAGGAATGCCAGAGATTTCTGTGCATTAATTTTGTATCCTGCAACTTTACCAAATTCATTGATTAGCTCTAATAGTTTTCTGGTAGCATCTTTAGGATTCTCTATGTATAGTATCATGTCATCTACAAACAGTGACAGGTTTACTTCTTCTTTTCCGATTTGGATTCCTTTTATTTCCTTTTCTTCTCTGATTGCTGTGGCTAAAACTTCCAAAACTATTTTGAATAAGAGTGGTGAGAGTGGGCAACCTTGTCTTGTTCCTGATCTTAGTGGATATGCTTTCAGTTTTTCACCATTGAAGAAGATGTTGGCTGTGGGTTTGTCATACATGGCCTTTATTATGTTGAGGAAAGTTCCCTCTATGCCTACTTTCTGCAGGGTTTTTATCATAAGTGGGTGTTGAATTTTGTCGAAAGCTTTCTCTGCATCTATTGAGATGATCATATGGTTTTTCTCCTTCAATTTGTTAATACGGTTTATCACATTGATAGATTTGTGTATACTGAAGAATCCTTGCATTCCTGGAATAAACCCCACTTGATCATGGTGTATGACCCGTTTAATGTGCTGTTGGATTTTGTTTGCTAGTATTTTGTTGAGGATTTTTGCATCTAGGTTCATCAGTGATATTGGCCTACAGTTTTCTTTCTTTGTGACATCCTTGTCTGGTTTTGGTATCGAGATGATGGTGGCCTTGTAGAGTGAGTTTGGAGGTGTTCCTCCCTCTGCTATATTTTGGAAGAGTTTGAGAATGATAGGTGTTAGCTTTTCTCTAAATGTTTGATAGAATTTGCCTGTGAAGCCATCTGGTCCTGGGCTTTTGTTTGTTGGAAGATTTTTAATTACAATTTCAATTTCAGTGCTTGTGATTGGTCTGTTCATATTTTCTATTCCTTCCTGATTCAGACTTGGCAGGTTGTACATTTCTAAGAATTTGTCCATTTCTTCCAGGTTGTCCATTTTATTGGCATAGAGTTGCTTGTAGTAATCTCTCATGATCTTTTGTATTTCTGCAGTGTCAGTTGTTACCTCTCCTTTTTCATTTCTAATTCTATTTATTTGAGTCTTCTCCCTTTTTTTCTTGATGAGTCTGGCTAATGGTTTATCAATTTTGTTTATCTTCTCAAAGAACCAGCTTTTTGTTTTATTGATCTTTGCTATCATTTCCTTCATTTCTTTTTCATTTATTTCTGATCTGATGTTTATGATTTCTTTCCTTCTGCTAACTTTGGGGGTTTTTTGTTCTTCTTTCTCTAATTGCTTTAGGTGCAAGGTTAGGTTGTTTATTCGAGATGTTTCCTGTTTCTTAAGGTAGGATTGTATTGCTCTAAACTTCCCTCTTAGAACTGCTTTTGCTGCATCCCACAGATTTTGGGTCATCGTGTCTCCATTGTCACTTATTACTATTTTTTTATTTCCTCTTTGAATTCTTCAGTGATCACTTCGTTATTAAGTAGTGTATTGTTTAGCCTCCATGTGTTTGTATTTTTTACAGATCTTTTCCTGTAATTGATATCTAATCTCATAGCGTTGTGGTCGGAAAAGATACTTGATACAATTTCAATTTTCTTAAATGTACTAAGGCTTGATTTGTGACCCAAGATATGATCTATCTTGGAGAATGTTCCATGAGCACTTGAGAAAAATGTGTATGCTGTTGTTTTTGGATGGAATGTCCTATAAATATCAATTAAGTCCATCTTGTTTAATGTATCACTTAAAGTTTGTGTTTCCTTATTTATTTTCATTTTGGATGATCTGTCCATTGGTGAAAGTGGGTTGTTAAAGTCCCCTACTATGAATGTGTTACTGTCGATTTCCCCTTTTATGGCTGTTAGTATTTGCCTTATGTGTTGAGGTGCTCCTATGTTGGGTGCGTAAATATTTACAATTGTTATATATTCTTCTTGGATCGATCCCTTGATCATTATGTAGTGTCCTTCTTTGTCTCTTCTAATAGTCTTTATTTTAAAGTCTATTTTGTCTGATATGAGAATTGCTACTCCAGCTTTCTTTTGGTTTTCATTTGCATGAAATATATTTTTCCATCCCCTTAGTTTCAGTCGGTATGTGTCTCTAGGTCTGAAGTGAGTCTCTTGTAGACAGCAAATATATGGGTCTTGTTTTTGTATCCATTCAGCTAATCTGTGTCTTTTGTTGGGAGCATTTAGTCCATTTACATTTAAGGTAATTATCGATATGTATGTTCCTATTCCCATTTTCTTAATTGTTTTGGGTTCGGTATTGTAGATCTTTTCCTTCTCTTGTGTTTCTTGCCTAGGGAAGTTCCTTTAGCAGTTGTTGTAAAGCTGGTTTGGTGGTGCTGAAGTCTCTCAGCTTTTGCTTGTCTGTAAAGGTTTTAATTTCTCCATCAAATCTGAATGAGATCCTTGCTGGGTAGAGTAATCTTGGTTGCAGGTTTTTCTCCTTCATCACTTTAAATATGTCCTGCCAGTCCCTTCTGGCTTGCAGAGTTTCTGCTGAAAGATCAGCTGTTAACCTTATGGGGATTCCCTTGTGTGTTATTTGTTGTTTTTCCCTTGCTGCTTTTAATATGTTTTCTTTGTATTTAATTTTTGACAGTTTGATTAATATGTGTCTTGGCGTATTTTTCCTTGGATTTATCCTATATGAGACTCTCTGTGCTTCCTGCACTTGGTTAACTATTTCCTTTCCCATATTAGGGAAGTTTTCAATTATAATCTCTTCAAATATTTTCTCAGTCCCTTTCTTTTTCTCTTCTTCTTCTGGAACCCCTATAATTCGAATGTTGGTGCGTTTAATGTTGTCC